TTTCGATTGTTTCTTTTGTTTCGATTTCATTAATTTCAGCTCTGATTTTAATTATTTCTTGCCTTCTACTTCTTTTGCTGTTGTTTTGCTCTTCTTTTTCAAGGATTTTGAGATGAAGTATGAGATCATTTATTTGTTGGTTTTTTTCTTTTTTTAAGGAATGAACTCCAAGCAATGAATTTTCCTCTTAGAACTGCTTTCAATGTGTCCCATAGATTCCGATATGTTGTGTCTGTGTTTTCATTTATCTCTAAGAATTTTTTAATTTCCTTCTTGATGTCTTCTATAACCCATTGATCATTCAGTAACCTATTGTTCATTCTCCAAGTGATGTATGCTTTTTCCTTCCTTCTTTTATCGTTGATTTTCAGTTTCATTCCATTATGATCAGATAAGATGCATGGTATTATCTCTACTCCTTTATATTGTCTAAGAGTTGCCCTGTGACATAATATATGATCTATTTTTGAGAAGGATCCATGTGCTGCTGAGAAAAAAGTGTAACTGCTTGATGTTGGGTGGTATATTCTATATATGTCAATTAGGTCTAGGTTATTAATAGTGTTATTGAGTTCTATAGTTTCCTTATTCAACTTTTGTTTGGAAGATCTGTCCAGTGGTGAGAGAGGTGTGTTGAAGTCTCCCATGATTATGGTATGGTGGTCTATTAGACTCTTGAACTTGAGAAGAGTTTGTTTGACGAACATAGCTGCACCATTGTTTGGGGCATAAATATTTATGATTGTTATGTCTTGTTGGTGTATGGTTCCCTTAAGAAGTATGTAGTGTCCCTCTTTATCTCTTTTGATTAACTTTGGCTTGAAATCTATTTTATTTGATATGAGTATGGACACTCCTGCTTGTTTCCGAAGTCCATATGAGTGATATGATTTTTCCCAACCTTTCACCTTCAGCCTATGTATGTCTTTTCCTATCAAATGCGTCTCCTGTAGGCAGCATATTGTTGGGTCTTGTTTTGTGATCCATTCTACTAGCCTGTGTCTCTTGATTGGTGAGTTTAAGCCATTAACATTTAGGGTTATTATTGAGATATGGGTTGTTCTTCCAGCCATATTTGTTTATTTATGTTACTAAACATGGTTTGTTTTCCACTTTGATTATTTTCCCCCCTTTAGTGTCCTACCTCCCACTGTTGGTTTTCATTGTTATTTTCCATTTCCTCTTCCTGTAATGTTTTGCCAAGGATGTTTTGAAGAGATGGTTTTCTAGCTGCAAATTCTTTTAACTTTTGTTTATCGTGGAAGGTTTTAATTTCATCTTCCATCCTGAAGCTTAATTTCGCTGGAAACACAATTCTTGGTTGGAACCCATTTTCTTTCAGTGTTTGAAATATGTTATTCCAGGATCTTCTAGCTTTCAGAGTCTGTGTTGAAAGATCAGCTGTTATCCTGATTGGCTTACCCCTAAATGTGATCTGCTTCCTTTCTCTTGTAGCTTTTAAAATTCTCTCCTTATTCTGTATGTTGGGCATCTTCATTATAATGTGTCTAGGTGTGGGTCTCTTATGATTTTGCACATTCGGCGTCCTGTAGGCTTCTAGGATTTGGGATTCTGTCTCATTCTTCAAGTCTGGGAAGTTTTCTTGTATTATTTCATTGAATAGACTTCTCATTCCTTTGGTTTGGAGCTCTGTACTTTCCTGTATCCCAATGACTCTTAAGTTTGGTCTCTTAATGTTATCCCATATTTCTTGGATGTTCTGCTCATGGTTTCTTAACAGTCTTGCTGAGCTGTCTATGTTCTTTTCCAGTTGAAATACTTTGTCTTCATTGTCTGATGTTCTATCTTCTAAGTGTTCTACTCTGCTGGTAGTATTCTCCATTGAGTTTTTAAGTTGGTTTATTGCTTCCTGCATTTCTAGGATTTCTGTTTGTTTGTTTTTTATAACCTCTATCTCCCTGTATAGTTGATCCTTTGCTTCCTGGATTTGTTTGCGTAATTCGTTGTCGAAGTGATCTTTCATTGTCTGATTTTGCTGTTTAATGTCTTCCTTGATACTCCAGATCATCTGAAGCATGTATATCCTGAATTCTTTATCTGACATTCCATCTGCTGCAGCTGTTACCTCTTCTAAAGTTGCGTTGACCTGCATTGCTTGTGGTCCTTTCTTTCCTTGTCTTTTCATACTGCTTGCGTATCTTTCCTGCAGGTGCGGGCGGCGGCTCTGCTCTCTCCTTATTCCAATTGGGGTGTCGTGGCTACCACGCCGGCAGGTCACTGGGCCTGTTCTGGGAGCTGGCGGCGGCTCTGTTCTGCCCCTACTCCAATTGGGGTGACGAGTGTACCACACCGGCAGGCCACCGGGCCTGATCCGCCGGTCGGTTGCAGGTTTGCCTACCCTGCAGGCGCGGGTGGCGGCTCTACTCTGCCCCTACTGCAAATGGGGTGACGTGTCTGTCGTACTGGCAGGCCACTGGGCCTGTCCTGCTGGTCGGTCGCAGATCTGCCCACCTTTCGGGCATGGGTGGAGGCTCTGCTCTGCCCCTACTCCAATTGGGGTGTCGTGACTACCCCGCCTGCAGGACACTGGGCCTGTTCCTGGCACGGGCGGTGACTCTGCTCTGCCACTACTCCAATTAGGGTGGTATTTGTACCACGCCGGCAGGCTCCTGGGCCTGATCCGCCCGTCTGTTGTAGGTCTGCCTACCTTGGAGGCGCGGGCGGCGGATCTGCCCTGACCCTCCTACCACGCCTGCGGACCCCTGGGCCTGATCTGCAGTTTGATCACTGGACTGCTCACCCTGCGGGCACGGGTGGCGGTTCCGCTCCGCCCCCACTCCAATTGGGGTCACGTGACCACCACAGCGGCAGGGACTGATCCGGGCGTGGGAGAAGGATCTGCTCTGCCCCTACTCCAGTTGGGGTGACGTGTGTACCACACTGGCAGGCCACTGGGCCTGACCCGCCAGGCTGTCACAGGTCTGTTTACCTTGCACGCTCATTCGTCACGGCGCGAACCGCGGCTCTGCCCTGCCCCTCCTACCACGCCCATGTACCACTGGGTCGCGGGTCTGCCCACCTTGCCGTTGCAGGTGGCGGCTCCGCTCCGTCCCCTCTCCAATTGGGGTCACGCGGTCACCACGCTGGCGAGCCGCTGGGCCTGCTCCGGGCGCTGGCGGCGGCCCAGCTCCTTCCCTCTGGCTCGACGACAAATTGAGGAGACTCGGGTGACTGTGCCTCACCCCCCCTACCAGGAGACCAACTGCTTATGTCACCACTGGTATTGATGAAGTTCCCTCCTCCGCCACTTTCTGCAGACATCAGATCTCTGCCATGTTGGTATCCTATGCGAATGGCAGCATTTCGTTCCCCTTGCCGGGCAACCAAAGCACCGGGTGAGTCCTGACCGGCCCTCAGCAGGACCCGGACCGAGAAGCAGTTTCCGCGGGCTCCTAGCCCCGGGCCAGGGAAGTTCCGGGAGCCGGAACTCGGCCGCTCCGTGCTCGGTATAAGCTCCTATAAATGTAAGCTCCAAGAAGCAGTCCCCGCGGGCTCAGTTCCGGGAGCCGTAATTCGGCTGCTTAGTGCTTGTTGTATGCTCTGGTAGGAGCAGGGTCCAAGAAGCAGCCTCCGCAGGCTCAGCAGCCCTGGGCCAGGGCGGTTCCGGGAGCCGGAACTCGGCTGCCCCGCGCTCGGTATTCACTCCGATAAGATCAGGTTCTAAGAAGCACCCAGGCGCTGAGCCCTAGCAATCTGTCTGCAAGCCGCAGGCGAATTGCAGCCTGAAATTACCTGTTCTATGGCTGAATGAGCTGCGGTCAGTCGAAAACAGGGGTGGTGACGTCAGTTTACCAACATGGTGGCTGCTGGCCTCCTCTGTGGTCTGACCGGTGTGGAGAACCGAGATGGACTGCTTCCTTCCCCCGTCTCGAACCCAGAATTCAGCCCTGAGTACGGTGCTTGCGCGGCTGGCAGAAACTGCAGCGCTGTAACCCTGCGTCTCTATCCCAGCGCACGCTGCAGATTCTAGCCGCGGGGCGATTTGCTGAATAAGCAGTGTTACCCTCCGTGCGACAAACCTCTCGCGTTTGAGTCCCCGTAGCTGATCCTCGTGCGATGGAAATCCTTCCTCCAGGTTCCGGAGCACCCCACTATTGCTGGAAATTCCTAACAAGATATCCTTTAGCCGTCCTGACTTGTCATACTCCCACACAGTGAAGCAGCACACGGGGGCAATGCACTCCCCTCGCCGCCATCTTCCTCTATCCGGTAACTGCCTTTTTGGAGGTTAAGTTACTAATGAGGATATGTGAAGACTGGCTATAAGTATAAGAGACACAACGAGCTATTAATTTTACAGTCTATAAAGCAACCTCTGGTTTAGAGGTAAATTACTGGAAGAACAAGAAATAAATTTATCAACTAGAAGAACTACTTGAACTGAAGGTTTAAATATTTCAACATAGTCTTGCAAGGTAGTGGCTAGCCTCAGTAAAACCCTGTCTCAAAATAAAAAATAAAAAAATAAATCTCAGGATGTAGCTCAATGGTAAACTGCCTCTGAGTTAAATTATATACCCAGTGCCAAATAAATAAATAAATAGCATGTGATGGCTAAAGTAGATTTGTAGATTAATGCAAAACTGCAATAGAAGCTCTCTAATAGAAAATATGAGTGAAGCATTTGGGTATTTTCTCTGGGACTTTTTTTCACAATAGAGAGCTATGTTAATTGTTAAGGATTTGATGCATTATTGCCTATGAAATACTGTATTTATGCACACAAAAAACATAAAAAGGTACACAACTTCCTACCTTGATACTGCAAAAACCTACAGAATGTTAAGAAAACAAAAAGTTTGCAAGTACCCATATCTTGATGGCAGGTGACCTCTCTCTACATCTTATGTTACTGTCTTGTACCTTGAAAAATCTTTATGAGCATCTAATAATTTTAACATAATACACAAAACAGAAAAGTTAAAGTAACCAAAATTCCAATGTAATTCGCAAGTTTTAACAATGTCCAATTAGTTCACAGCACAATATATACATTCACTTGCAAATTAATATTCTGCTCAATAAATTTTTTAATGCCTCCTTCACATCCTTGTTCCTAAGACTGTAGATTAAAGGATTCATCATGGGAGTCATCACCCCATAGAAGATGGATATAAGTTTGTCTGTTGCATCCAGACCATCTGAATTAAGTATGTCTTTAGACTTGGGTTTCATGTACATGAAGAGAATGGTACCATAGAATATTATCACCACAGTCAGGTGCGCTGAGCAGGTAGAGAAGGCTTTGCTTCTCCCCTCAGAGGAATGGATCTTGAGGATGCTGGAAACGATTAATGAGTAAGACATAACAATGAAGAGCAGTGGCGTCAAAATGAACAACGTTGTGGCCACCAGCATGATGAACTCATTACCTGAGATGTCAGCACAGGCCAACTTCATGACAGCCAGAATTTCACAAGAAAAATGATTGATGATATTATTCCTGCAGAAAGGCAACCGTACCACAAATGCAGTTTGCACTGCAGAGTTGACAACCCCTGAAAGCCAGGAGCCAGCTGCCATGGTCACATAGGAATTCCTGTTCATGATGATGAGATACCTCAGGGGATTGCAGATGGCCACATAGCGGTCAAAGGCCATCATTCCCAGGAGCACACACTCTGTTGTCCCCATGGCCAAGCCAAGGAACATTTGCACTGCACAGCCAGAAAAGGAAATGGTTTTTCTTTCTGAGAGGAAGCTCACCAGAGTGGAAGGAATTGAAGTGCTAGTGTAGCAGATGTCCAAGAAGGAGAGGTTCCCCAGGAAGAAGTACATAGGGGTGTGGAGGTGAGAGTCGAGTATGGAGAGTATGATGAGGGTGCCATTGCCCAGAAGGATGACCACATACATTAATAAGATGAGTACAAAAAAGAGTACCTCAAGCCTTGGGTAACCAGAAAGTCCCTTCAGAAAAAATTCCACCAGAATGGTTTGGTTTTCCCATTCCATTTTATCATCTCTCTTTCACCTGTAAGAATTCAAAGAATTTTTTATGTTTTATTTTTTATAGTAAGGACTTTTCTTCTTCTTTTTAAAATTTTTTATTTGTTTTAATTAGTTATATATGACAGTAGATGGGACATAATTTCTCATTCTTCTGAGTATACATATTGTAGAATCACATTGGGCATACAGTCACATACATGCATAAAGTAATAATGTCTGTTTCATTCTACATTCTTTCTTATCCCCACATCCCTCAAAGAATTTTTTAAATAATAATTTCTTCACTAAGAATATATCTTCCAACAGGGCAATTCTATAAACTTCTCACTTTGAATGTTTTTACGAAAATACCCATTATATCACCCAAGAATTAGGAATGGTGTTCATCACCTCCAAATCCTTCTTCAGAAGGTCATGAACCACCTCAGTGAATTTTTTCTCAAAAATAGCCCCTTCCTAATGATCCTATATACATGCATAAACACATACGAATTTCCAGTTATATCCTTGTTCAGCACAGAATCCATTGAAAGTGCTCCAATCAATTCACAAAACAAAAAGTAATTTCTGGAATCAAACAAGCACTTAACACAGGACATTTCCCCTTCCTAATGAAACTTTATACAAGAGCAAAGTCTGAATTAAGGGCTTTCACCTATTTCACTCCTCTTCTAACTACCCACACTGCTCTGCCTTTAGCCATTATTAGAGTCTTTTTCTTTCAGTCTACTTTACCCTTTATGCTTTGAGATTTTTTTATACACTAAATATGAATATTTCTTTTTTATCTCAAGCCAAGATTTGCCTTCTTAATTCTATGTTATAGAGAACACCACCCAAATTCCTACTCCTTGATACATGGTGGCTGTGAAGCAATTTTACTTTAAGAATCATTCTTCTAAATACTGCCACCATACAACTTATTATCATGTCAGGTCCACTTTTCCTAGTAGAAAAAAAAACATCCATTTAAATACTATCTTAGCCAGTCATTAGTCCCATGGTCTTGAGTAATTTACTTCCCAGAGTCTCCATATTCCCATGCATAACAGGGAGATTTTAATAGCCTCATTATGAGATCCTTCAGAAAATAAATTAGGTAATGTATGTAAAGCACATAGCACATGGCAAGTACTATTTTGATTTCCTTCATCTTCTGGTGACTTGTTCTTCCATCATCCTTCTACAAGAGTATCTTCAAATATTATTTCTCAGTTACGCTTTGTCAGGCATCTCTCCTTAACCAATCCAATCTACTATTTTTCATCACATCTATGATTTGAGATGGATGCACACTATAGCAAAAGTTTACTCACTTTGCAATGAATAATCTTATACTATTATAACAAAAGTCCACGGCAGTTTGAAACAAGGAACTCACAGACTGACATTTGATAATAAACACTATTGCAGTTCATTTATCTAAAATCTAAATGTATGTGTAATACAAATATAATATCTAAAATTATCATAGAAATGCATCACTAACAACAGCAAAATGAAATACTCAAAACAAGCTTCCAAATACTTACGCAAACATAAGTCAGAATTTCTTCATGTTAGATAATGACTCATTGTTTCTCTTCATTTTCTTTTTTCACAAATCCAATGATGTATTCAAGAACAAGAAATGACACATTCCAAACAAACTGTCCATGTAAAGATTCTAGGACAGGAACAAGGTAAAACATTGTCTACTCATGATTACTATGGACAAACATTTGCTAAAGTGAACCCAACAAAGCTGAATTGGTGCTAAGTGGTAAATAGCTACAAAATCAGACCTTGGTGAAAACAACCTGCTTTATATTTTGATCAAGAGTTCAGATCTGCAAACTATTGTGACCTCATAGAACCAAAGAAAATGATAAATTTGAAGTGTAGACACTTGTAGTGAAGCAAGAAGTAGGAAATACATTCTGACCAAATAAATCTTTATTCCCCGTTAGACCTAAACAACCATCTGTTTTAGAAGTTCATATTGCTTTGGATTTACAACTATTCTTTTGGTTGTTTCCCCCCCCCCAATTTTCTACCTATTATTTAAGACCTTTCTCTTGGAATCTTTATTCCTATTCCCTACACACTATTTCTAGTAGAAAATAGTCCAGCCTCACAACACATGTGTTCTTTCAACTCAGTTCATAAAGACTGACTCTTTCTTTTATTTGTTAGTTATTAGTATTTTTTCAGCAATTATCTCTAAAGGGATAGTCTTACCTGGTCAGGCTGCCACACATAGTTAAATTTTTCCTTGATCTTTGATTTTCAGGCTAGTCTACAAAATTTTCTATGAGGCTGATGGGTTTCTAAAAAAAAAAAAAATTAAAAAAAAGTGTTACCTTTGGAGAGCCAGATGGACATAGAATTTGGAAAATATTGATGACAAAGTTACCATTTCCAAATTATTTCAAAATTTTCTGTACATTACAGTCAAAAGTGTTTCCAAAGGAAGTATAGTTTAATTTCACTAGTTCAGAAGGGAAGGGAGAACAAATATTCACTAGTTCAGTCTGAGAATGGGGCACATCGTGAAGGCCCAGTGAATTCTCTAAAGAATCTTTTTAGGCTCAGGAAGGCAATTTAAATATTTCATGCTCTTAGGGACTTCTGCAATTTTCTAAGCCAAAATTTTAAATTGCTTCAGGGGAAAGATGTTCAAAACTTTTTGAAACTTCAAGAATAATACCCTAAAGACTTAATTATTTTGCTCACATTACTGTATTTTAAATAACAAATAAGAAGTCTTGAGGACATTCATTACCCCATTCCCAAGTTTCTATATACTCCTCAGATTCTTATTCCAAATGAATTTGTTCATCTATCTTATTATGTCCTATTGGTAAATGGAAGTTATTAGGCTACATGAATTCTTTATTAATTCTTGGTTATTAATAATAATAATATCTTACATATTTTATGCATTGTCATAAAATTTTTATATATGTTAATTTATTTAATTTTTTACATATATATAATATATACATATATATAGAGAGAGTTCATATTGTATATTCCCCCTTTGGTTTTCATGGAATGAACTTGACCACTGAGCCACATCCTCAGTCCTCTTTTGTATTTTATTTGGAGACAGGGTCTCATTGATTTGTTTAGTGCCTTGTTTTTGCTGAGGCTGGCTTTGAACTCACAATTCTCCCTTGCTTTAGCCTCCCAACCTCTGTGATTACAGGTGTGTGCCACCACACCTAGCTGTACCTAAGTCATATTTGATAAATCAGTAAAAGAAGAAAATGGTTTTACTATACTAATAATATTTGGCTCTGAAACAGATTGTAAATGTAGGTGGCATTTTGAAATTCACAACAAATTAAGAAATTTTTGAACTGTACGAAGGAAACCTAAAAGATATCAAGCTATTCAGTTTTTTATAGTGTTTTAAAAGGTAATTTGTAACTTCATTCTAATTGGGCATTCCAAAAAATTTACCTAATGGGATATATGTATCACCTATATTAATCACATTGGCATAATTAATAATTAATACATTGGCAATGGTAAATATGTGTAAGTTCCAGACACTCTGCGCCCCTTGGCCATCTGATCTCTACTCCTGCAGAAATGATCCCCCTTCATTGAATTACTCCACTCAAATAATGAACATAATTTGTTAACCACAAAACACTAAAATCACAGCACATAAGAAGAAATAAGTTAAAACTGAATGTTCCTCATTGTTTGTAATGTTTATTGATCAACCTGATCACACGAATTGATTCCTGGCCATCTTCTCAATTCTCGCCACCTCATGGCTGAGCTTTCTTTTTAGGAACAGAACAACAACCAATTATTGTGGTTTCCTTTTTTAGAATCTATTTTACTTTTAAAAATCAAGTTTTTTGGCAAAGTTTTAATTGTTCTTTTATCAGTACCAAATAGGAGTGAAACCTGGCCTATCCAGTTTTCACTGCTCTGTTTATAAAGCCTGAATAGTTAAATAAAACTTATACTTTTATCAATCTCTCATTTAAGCTAGACACAGGTGATAATTTTATAAAGCAAATTTGCCCCTCGATAACAAGTATTTTAAAGTATACTATCCTTTCTGCCACAATCTAGGATGTGGGAAACATCAATGAGCATGAAGTGCAACACAGCCTCAGTGTGTAACATACACAAATGTGAAGAAATTGCCTAATCATTTATATTAAGGTTTTTACGTTATTTACCGAATCAATTTTTCTAATGTAATTAGGTATCATCTTCATTTGTTTCTTTTATGTGGAATTGTTTTGTTCTATCTAAATGTGTCTGTATTAATTTTCAAAGTTAGGAAATTTTAGAAAAGATACCATGGTAATTTTTTTGATAAATCTTGTTCTGGATAAAAATGCAGAATTCTGTTTTTGTCTTTCTTTTATTTAACTATACTAGTATAAGTATTTTTTCAATAATATAAATTCTTCAAAAAATCTATTTAGTAATTACAAATAGTCCATTAAGTGAATGTACTATGACAATTTCATAATTCTCCATCATCAAATGATTATAGAAGGGTAACATGCAATGATAGCCAAGTTATCCAACACCCTAAAGCCTATGTGAAATCATTTATTAGTAACTATCCCTAGTCTAATATTTTTTTGTTCTCTTTATCCAAACAAATTTTGTGACTCCACCTTAGAGAAGTAAACATAAATGTAGAGAAGGTTTCTAGCAAAAAGATATTCAACACTATGCTCTTTTGAAAGGTCAAATATTTGGAATCAATCAATTGGTTTTTAACAGAGTTATTCTAGCATTGCAAAAGAAATATAGTTAATGGCCTCTATGCAATTAATTATCTTTTTCTCAAAAGCACCTAAAGAGATGGGTGGGTCCCATAGGGATGTTTTCAAGTAAAATCTTTTGGCAGCAATTACTTCAAGGATGTTAGAGTGCCAAATGTACAACCTTATTAGCATAAAATAATTGTTTATTGTCTGAAAGTAAATAGGACCAAACATTCTGGAGAAATTACATGAAAAGAAATCCCATTTGACTCATACCTTCTCTTATTAGCTTCA